AAAGCAATAATACCCTCAAGTGCGTTTGTGTACTTGTGATATTCCTATTGGTGCAGATAGTCTACTAACTCATTGTGTATGAGGACCCCTCTGAGCTGAATGAAATCGTCTGTCTTTAACCAAATAAAGTATTAAAAGTGGTGTCCCAGTAGTGAAGGGGTTAAAAAAATATATTAAAAAAATCGTTGATCCAGTTTTCAAATATGGTACAGTATTGCTCCTGCTAATATAACTTATATTGACACTGTAACTCAGATAAATGAAAAAAAACTAAATCTGTAAAATGTGAAGTGTGTCGCGCACCAGAGGAGAAGGAAATTGATGGCGACGCGAAAGGAGACCGCGACAAGACGGCCTTTATAGCTCTATTAACACCCGTAAGAGGATTTACGCCCGTTCCTCAGTGACATGTCATAGCAAGCCTGGAACACGTGAGGGCCAGGAACACTCCCCTAGAGACCCTGCATGACATGTGAGTTGTGAGATACTGGCAGGCGGTGACCACTGTGGGGTTGGTGTACTGGGACGAGGCTACCCGCGACACCTTGCTAAACGGTGACAATGATCGTAGTGTTACCGTAGCTCCTTTTATATCCCGACGGCCATCATTTTGTTCGTGCGTGTGTGCGTGTGTGTGTCAGAGTTTCTAGTGCGACCAAGGGAGCGCGACTTTACAGAGCCACTTCTGGTTCTGTTACGTCTTTATAAGCCGGGAGCCTTAACACATCTCCCGGCTCTCAGGTAGGTGGGCGGCCATTACTTACATCGCTCCTACCTTACCTCTGCTTCTGTAATGTTTTCATTTCCCTGAACCGGTTGTGTGCTTATTAATTCACCTCCGTAAATCACCCGCCATGAGGCTTGTGAGGTCGTGTGTGGAGTGTGGAGGGGCCCTCTTGGTGAGCCTTCTGGTGGGTATGGATGACGTCAACACCTGCTTTAGAGAGTAACACACACACACACACACACATAAACGCGCACACACACACACACACACACACACACACACACACACACACACACACACACATTCGATTATTAACAAGAAAAATAAGAATTAACTTACTTCCTTTACACATCACCCTAAACTCACACATAAACCAGACTCAACCTAACACATCCTTCACACATCGTCCTAAGCTCACATCACTATCAGAATCAACACATCCTTCAGGTATTAACCCTTTCTACCTCTTGCCTATCCATCTTCATCAGTGGTCTTCTCTCGCTCGGTCCACTGGCTCGCCTTACTCACATATTCAGAGGCGGTCAATATAACTCCGTCCATTACACTAATAAATGATCTTAGCCTCCACACCGCACCACCACGAGGCTACTTGGCTGGCTCGCCACTCAGGCACCACGGCAGGATTTGCTAATACTCAGACCCGGAACCGGAATTTAGTCAAATCTGTCGTATGCTTTACCTAAGCTGACTTGCACTAATTTAATGTGATATGAGCGTAACTTAAACGTATTCCTAAACTAACCTAATCAAAGGTAACCTAACCTAACCTAACCTAACCTAACCTAACCTAACCTAACCCTATCCTAACTAAGTTAAGCTAACCACATACCTCACCAGTGTACACCACCGCGTTTCTATAACAAACGTTTGGTCTGATTCCGGGTTTTTTTGTTTATATCTAATAGTTTTGTGCCACCATACCCACCCCCTCACCTTCCCACCCCTGCCTCTCTCACCTCCCCGCGCCTGTCTCCCTCACCTTCCTCACTCCTTCCTTCCCCTGCCACCCTCACCTCACCTCACCTCCCCAACCTGCCTTCCACACCTCTTCACCACCGTCTTCCCCTGCCTCTTCCACCCTTGCCTCCGTCACCTCTCCACCCCTGCCTCTTTCACCTCCCCATTTTTGCCTCTCTCTTCCCCCATCCATGCCCCCTTACCTCCCCACCCTAGTGTTCCCCTGCTTCCCTCACCTCCCCACCTCTGCCTCCCTCTACCTCCCCACTCCTCCTCACCCCCACCACTCGTTGGGGGTCGAGGGGAATGATTGAGCTTTGAAAGTGGTGATGGTGGTGAGCAGCCTGGCGGGTGTCCTTCCCTCACACCATACACCCTGGCGACCGTCCCTAATCCATAGTTCCCGCTCGGGTATGCAAAAGAAACCCACCGCGAGGAGAGGCAGAGAGAACCACCTGGGAATAGTAAGAAACCTTTAATTGACCAGGATTGTCTGCCCGGGGGGTGGGGTGGGGTGGGAGGGGTGAGGGAGTGGGAGATTGTGTTGGTGAACCTCCTGCTGGGGCGGGGGAGTCTCCCGGTGGTCGGGGCGGGGGAGTCTCCCGGTGGTCGGGGCGGAGGAGTCTCCTGGTGGTCGGGGCGGGTTGGGGGAGTCTCCTGGTGGTCCGGGCGGGTCAGGGGAGTCTCCTGGTGGACGGAACGGGACGGGACGGGACGGAAGAGTCTCCTGGTGGACGGGACGGAGGAGTCTCCTGGTAGCCAGGACGGGGCGGAGGAGTCTTCTGGTGGACGGGACGGAGGAGTCTCCTGGTGGAAGGGACGGGGAGGAGGAGTCTCCTGGGTGGCCAGTGGTCAGGACGCCAGTGGGGTGGTAATGACTCTATCAATTAGCAAAGCCGACCATAGTACTCTCAAGTAAAGGGCGGCCTGTGGGTGGTGGGGCAGCGGTGGGTCAGGTGGCAGGATAGGAGTGGGTCAGGTGGTAGGATAGGGGTGGGTCAGGTGGTAGGATAGGAGTGGGTCAGGTGGTAGGATAGGGGTGGGTCAGGTGGTAGGATAGGGGTGGGTCAGGTGGTAGGATAGGAGTGGGTCAGGTGGTGGATAGGGGTGGGTCAGGTGGTAGGATAGGGAATTGGGTCAGGTGGTAGGATAGGAGTGGGTCAAGTGGTAGGATAGGAGTGGGTCAGGTGGTAGGATAGGAGTGGGTCAGGTGGTAGGATAGGGATGGGTCAGGTGGTAGGATAGGAGTGGGTCAGGTGGTAGGATAGGAGTGGGTCAGGTGGTAGGATTTTGAATTTAGATAGACCGATATGTTCTAGATAGAAATAAAATAACAATGGTAAATACTAAGATAAAACAAGACTTGTTGACAACACTTCAACTAGATTTATTTAGATTTTTGTGAAGGAATTTTGAAGGTTAAAAAAAACACAACTGAATATTCCAGGGTTTGATATGAAGTTAAGAAAAACAATAATTATCTGCCAGTTGGGTGATTACAATAGCCTCATGAAATTTCCTCAGCAGTTATAATATATTGTGTGAAACTCTGCGGACATAACGAGAATAATTTCACTCCTATCAACACCCAGTACAGTAGTATCGTAAAAATTGACTTACCAACTCACCTTTAACCTTTGTCTCCTGAGGGTGTATCAAGGTCAGTCTCTATGCCAAGATTATGCCAGCTGATATAATATATTACCGACATACACTGAGTTGCTGTAACCTGACATACACACACATTCGGCAGCCGCCCTGAACTGCCTCGTGTACACAGGAGAGAGAGAGATGATGGTGAATAGAAATAACATAATATAACTAATGATAAATAATTTCAATAATAATAATAATAATAATAATAATAATAATAATAATAATAATAATAATAATAATAATAATAATAAATTAATTTCGGCACAATAACAGTCCACGTTGGAGAAAGATAAATCTATATACACAGTTAACAGTAGATAAAAAAAACAACAATAAAAGAAAAACAACAACAATATATCACTTGACTTATCTCTGGTACACTGTAATTATTTTTTGGCAGTGGCAGTCTGATTTATTTATTTATTTGTTGAACTGATTTGCATATTTCTTGGAGTAACGTATAATTATATCTTCTGATTAATTATTTCACAGTAGGTAATTTATAGTACCTGTAATGCTTCTCTGTGATTGGGTGACGAGCTTTGGTATATCAGGTACTCTTAATCGTTCTCATTGGCTGGTTGATATCATATCTGTTTGTGTTATCAGTATTCGCCCCGCCCTAAACGGCTTTCATTGGCTAACAGGGCGTGTATGTGGAGGAAGGGGGTGGAGGGGTAGGTGTTTAGGGGAGGGGGGTAGGGGAGAGTAGGTGTTTAGGGGAGGGGGTGGGGGAGGGTAGGTGTTTAGGGGAGGGGGTAGGGGGTAGGTGTTTAGGTAGGGGGGTGGGGGAGGTGGGTGTTTAGGTAGGGGTGGGATAGGTGTTTGGGTGGTGGTGGGGGAGGGTAGGTGTTTAGGGGAGGGGGGGGAGGGTGGGGTGTGTGGGGGAAAAGTGGGAGGGTGGTGTTTAGGGTGGGGGTGGGAGAGTAGGTGTTTTAGGGAAGGGGGTAGGGAGGGTGGTGTTTAGGGGAGGGGTGGGGAGAGGTGTTTAGGGGAGGTTAGGAGAGGTAGGTGTTTAGGGGAGGGGGTGGGGGAGGGTAGGTGTTTAGGGGAGGATAAGTGTGTGGGTAGGGAGAATGTTATGACCCAGCTCTTGATAATGTTAGAGAGAGAAGGTAATCATTGGAACATAACTCCAGGACTCCTCTATCACCTTTATGAATGACAACACGGCAGCTTTGATGTGTTGTTCATGATGAATGGTTGGAGTAAGAGTGGACCACCCAATTTCTCTCTCACTCGCTCTTTTTCGATACAACACACACACACACACACACACACACACACACTCGCCCAAACACCATAATTTCTCTCCTTACACTCAAGTCAAAAGTTGTAATTCTGTTTGACCGCCAGTTGTATTATCCCAGTTTTTCCTTTTGCTTCAGTTAGGGGTTTCTGATTCCCTCTCGTTCACAGTATAAAAGGATTTATGGCCAGTTGTTGTTGTAAAGAAAAAGAGATTTAGGGTGTTGACGGCTCACGAGAAGGGTGTTTAATCATCAGGCGAAATAATGTTAAGGGTCGCTAATCTTCCTGTGATCAGCATTTACTAATTTAGAATACGCATTTAAGCACCTTTGTTGTTGAAATGCATTAATACATAACTAACAGTCTTAACATCAACGTCGTCTTTCAGGTTACAGCGAGAGCGCATTCGGACACGCCATCACAGCAGCGGGAGTGACTCACAGTGTAGCCCGCGCCTGCGCAGCTGGTCGCCTCTATAACTGCTCCTGCGGCATGGTGAGACGTCTTGTTCTGTCCTGCCTAGTCATTTGAGGTCCATTATCTTCCCACAGACAGTCGAGGTCTTCATTAGTAGGTTTTGCTTTGTAATATAAAAATAAAATAAAGATATTCATCACTACATAAAAAAAATAGAAAAAAAAATCCTCGCTATATTGACAAGTTGAAAAATCATCACATCAAAAAATCAGTATATTGAAAGGCTAAGAGGAAATCCATCACGTCTTTCACAATCTTCAGTCCTTAAAGTACAGTACAATAAAGTACAGCTTAACTTAATGGTCTTGAAAAGTGTGTAGTTTCACTTATAATGAGCTTTAAAGAATACAGTTTCACATACAATTATCTCCGAAGAATTTAGCTTCAGTTACTTTGAATAGTGTGTGTGAGCTCAGTACCTGATGATTGATTATATGGAAGGACAGATTTATTTAATAACATAATGAGATAAAAGGGGAGAACAGTAACTGGTAATTTTGCTTCTTATTTGTATCTCTCTCTCTCTCTCTCTCTCTCTCTCTCTCTCTCTCTCTCACACACACAAGGACAACCCTTGCGTATATGTTTTTAACTTTGGTTATAAGTCTCCTTCCCTACGTTATCTTCCTTCTTTATCAATTTTCCTTCCCACTATCTACGTCTGCCTCCTTCCTTTCTCTCCTTCCCACATCACAAGATTTTACCCTACTTTATTCCCTCCCCTCCTTCTCTCCCTCCCGTACAAGGTATAACCCCCTCCTTCCCTTCTCTCCTTTCCCCAAATTATAACCCTCCTTCGTGGTCTCCGGCAGGTTCGTGGCAAGAGAGCGTGGAAGTGGAGCGGATGCCACGACAACACCAGATTTGGGGCTCGTTACTCCCGCAAGTTCCTGGATGTGAGGGAGCGAGCCAAGGACATGATCTCCTTCACACACCTCTACAATAACGAGGTCGGCAGGAAGGTGAGTGTGAGGGAGAGGGGGAAGTGAGAATGAGGAAGGGTTGAGGTAGGCACTAGGCAGTGGAGGGAGACGGAAGGGTAGTGAGGGGAAGGTAGAGGAACTGAAGATAATGAAAATACAGGGAAATAAACGGGGGGGGGGGTGGTTAGAGGCAAAGGAAGAGGATGGGGAAGGTGAGGGAAGACGATGGTGTTAGTGGAGGAAGATGAAGGGAGGTAAGAAAAGAGGGGATGGTTGGAGGTGAAGAAAAGTAGGGGCGGGTGAGGTAAGGTGAAGAAGTTGGTCATGTTTTCTGGGAATGCTGTACAGGTGCCGTAGCTACTTCACTCCTGAGCAGTTGCTTCAAGTATATAAGGGATTCATTCGTCCTAACTTGGAGTACTGCTCTCATATCTGGGGTGGCTCTTCTTCTGCCCAACTACTAGATAGGGTGGAATCAAAGGCATTTAGTCTTATTAACTTTCCTCCTTTAGTTGATAATCTTTCTTCCCTTCCTCTTCGCCGCAATGTTGTTTCACTCTCTCTCTCTTTTACAGGTACTTTAACGGGCAATGTTCAATGGATTTGGCGTTCTGTGTACCGCCGGCAAGGCCGTGGGCTTGTAACACGCGTCTTGCCCGCGGTGCCCACCGTTTCTCTGTGGATGTCGGTCAAACTAGAATAACCCGTTATAGTACATCCTTCTTTCTCCACACAGCTAAACTGTGGAATGCTCTGCCTTTTGTGTTTCCATACTCATACAATCTGTCTCACTTCAAAAAGCTGGTTTTCCGGCATCTTCGTGGTGTAGATTAATATCATTTTTATTTTTTTATTTTTAATGTTTACTGATATTTTGTCGCTATTCCCCGTAAAAAAAAATGCTTTTATGAAATATAAAGTCTAATATTATGTGATAGTATATCTCTCACTTTCTCTCTCTCTCTCTTCCCTTTATGTATCTCAACTCTTCCGCTTCTCCTTCCTCGACCAATCTGCTTATCCTCCTTCCCTCCCCTAGGTGGTGAGGAGGAACCGTGAGGTGCGGTGTAAGTGTCACGGTATGTCCGGGTCATGTGAGGTGAGGACCTGCTGGAAGGCGGCCCCAGACTTCCGGCGGGTGGGCGACATGCTCAAGAAGAAGTACCGCGAGGCCAAATCCGCAGCCGTCGAGGTCTTCGGCAACTCCGCCAACACTGCCCGCAAGTATCGGCCTGTCAGAAGGTAAGTGCCGCTACCGTCTACTGGTCGTTGTAATGGTGCCATAGACTCTGGGGTGGTAAAAAGTATAATAAAAATAATCCTCAGTAAGGGTAACATTAAGATTACTGGTATATTGCAACAATTCGAATTACTATTTCCTTGGCAGGCCTCCAGGTTATTGTCTTCCTTCATCCCTTCACTGTCAGTTGTTCCACGTTAATACTCTACTCTGTATCTCTCTATTTTTCTCTCACTTCCTGCAAACAGTTTACGTCACAGTTCCTGCCTTCCTTCATGACAGCTTTAATGTGTGAAGCCTAAATATCTCCTCCCTCGCACAGAGAGATCAGTCCGGACTCGCCGCTGCTCTATGTAGAGAAGTCGCCGACGTTTTGTGATGTGGATGGTCGTTTGGACGTAGCGGGGACGAGGGGTCGGCACTGCAATAGGACCTCCACGGGACCAGACTCGTGCGACACACTCTGCTGCGGGAGGGGGTACGACCAGAGGCGGGAGACAGCCACCAGCAAGTGTCACTGCCGCTTCAAGTGGTGCTGTAAGGTCAGCTGTCACGACTGCTCCGTGGAGAAGTGGATTTCTGTTTGCAAATGAAGGCCGAGAATAACAAGACCTGACGTCGCTACACGTTTGTTCTGGAGTCACACCTTCTTTGTAATACTGTAGACTCAGGAATGATTGGCATAATTATGAAGTCTTTTGTGTTGATCTCATAAGGGCCTTCATTATATAGTTACTATGGGTACTTTTTTTTTACAAGGAAATTACTTGAACTACAGGAAGCGAAGTGTCCTCTCAGCTGCTCGAGTCAGAAAACTTGATGTACAACAATGTGTGGCAGCACTGGAAATATGCTGCATAATACTGTAAAAAATAAGATGATATATGGCTGGACCATTGTTGATTATGTGGGAAGGATGTGTTGACAGACCTCAGCAGTGAAGGCAATTGAATGCTATACAAGACCATAGACATAAGATGCATTGTAAACATGTGTGCTTGTTTTGTGTTGCTGGAAACTGTTGATGACTTGAAGCTAAGGTAATCCGCATAATGACGAGCACAAACTGGAATGTTGTAACCCACAAGCCTTTGAGCCGTGAGTGATGACGAATTTTCCAGAAAAGAATTTGTTTATATTACATAAAATACTGTACAACAAAACTTTATGGATTGTATATTTTATAAACTGTTTCAATGTGGAAGTGTTGTATTTGCTTGTGAAAAATAGGTGTGAATGTCAGTGTCTTGAACTTAATTTTATCAATGAATGAATCGCCAAGAACTGGATCAGACGACAATGGAATTCGTTGCAGTGAACGTAAAATACACGACATACTGTATGAAATTGATTACAGTGAACGTAAATGAACGATATACTGTATAGAATTAATTGCAGTTGACGTAAAAGAACGGTATTCTGTATCCGTACAAAAAAAGAACTCCACATTTAAATAAATTTCATTCAAACTCCCTTGTTTAGAGCGAACACAGTGCAGCCAACAGAAAAGATAATACAAATTAGTAAAAAAATAAATAAATATTTCCTAAAACAAATCAAAGATGAATAAGCAGAAAAGCAATAATTTACAAGAAAGAAATAGGCTTTTATTCACTGATAGGTCGCACCCACCAGTCCTATAGTGTGTGTTTGTGTACATTGAATACCACTGTGGAGGTCTTTTTTCTTTTTTACTATTTTAAATGTATTTTAAACTTTTTTTTATGTTCTACAGTCATTTTGTCCATTTTTATGAGATAATCTTAGTTGTGTATAAACAGTAAATGTTGCATAGTGTTTATTTATTGTATCATAGGATTATTTTGACCGTATAAGAAATGTTCCTTTTTTGCTCTGTATCACTGTAAAATGTCGATCAGAAATAATTATTGAGTTATTTTCCTCATTGTCTGTTGGATGATAATGTGAAATACTGTACAGGATTTATTTATTAACTAAGATTTACATTAAAAAATAAAGCTCCATCCGCGATTAATATAAAGAAAAGCAATGTTCCAAACATACAAATTCGCAAATGAATAAGTATTCTTTTACTTCAGTGAATATAGCAGAAATGATTGTGTGTGTGTGTGAGAGAGAGAGAGAGTGATTGGGGAAGAGAACCGTACATTACCTATTTGGATTTTTGTCTCTACCAATGTTCATGCTTTGTTTGTGTATCTGTATGTTTGTATATATGTCAATAACATGTCTGTTTATATTTATATGTTTTTGTCCCTTTGTGTTTTTGTGATGTTGGTGCATTTACGAGTATTTGTGTGTGCTGAAGTGTATCTGCCTGTGTGTTTGCCTTGTTTTTCCTGTGTATGTTTATTTTGTGTGTGTGTGTGTGTCAACGTGTTTTATAGGTACTTAAAATTTCATAATATGCTTTTCTCTGCACTGATCTCACTAACCTAGCGACCCAAGGCACTGAATCTGTCAGAACCTCCTTGCTGTTAGTGCAAAATGACTAAATTACGAGCCTACTGTTCTTGAATACAATAAATTACAATAAATGTGCACTTTTCACTATACAGTACTAAATAAATAAAAATTTCGCCAAGGGTCCGCTGGAGGTGTCTGGATGGTAAGCGAGCAACTTTACTGTGATTTGATGAGGACTTGATGATTTTAACTCATTAGCTGCAAACGCTGTTATCTGGATGTTGATAAGATGAGAAAGCGTTCAACTTGGCACTGAAGAAGTGGAATATTTACTCGGGTATTATAATTAACCAAGAGACAGGGTGAAATGAATTATTATATGCAAATTGATGTATTCCTTTTCTCTAATAGGAACTTTATATATCTTTCGTCCCATCACTGTTTCTTCTTCTTTTTTTCATTTCCTTTTTCTTTTACCCACACGGTTTAGCTGCACCGTCGCATACTACATTTTTAACTGTTCCCATTCATCCCCGTCTCTTTTTACTTGTACTCACTGTCTCGATCATTTCTTTGAATTTTCCACTTACATTATCTTACTTTCAGCTCATAGACTTACTCTGAACTTCTTTCAAACTGAATTTTTTCATTCTCTACTAATCGATATCCTGCCAAGTCGTGGACAGTCACCCCTTGCACCGTTTTTCGTTGAATATTTACATCCGTCAACTTCCATAGCATTCTAATTTCTTACACATACATACCCTAACACCTCTCTACCGTCTCCACTTTTGGATTTATTATCTTTTTTAATTACACATTCTCTACTATCAACTCATTCTCGACGCACATTCTATCAATTTCTCTCCATTTGCATTTACTTTAATGATACTACATATTTCTCCAGTTTCCTTCACTTCTTGATTCACTGGTCTACAAATTTTGTGCTTTGGAGATAAAATGGTTTTCCCTTTATGGATTTTGGGGTGCTGGAAACGCATATAACCACAAAAACAATTGATTGGCTACAGTTTACAAGAAAATTCACATGATACTCCAGTGCATGATCAAGCTTTTGCAGGGACGGGGAGGGGGGGTCCTGGGGTTCCTGACCCCTTTTTTTCATCAGAAAATTCCAATACCTTTTCTGTAATGCAGTATTGTACCTAGGCGCTTTTGTATAGTAAAAAGTAATTACTATTGACCTCAGAATATCTCCTAATGTCAAGTGCACATGGTTTCAAAATGGCTTCAAATTGGTCATGATATTTGGTCAGATTTCAAACAAAAATCTGGAAGGGGGGGGGTTTACAGTCCCCCCCCCCCTCCCATCCCCTCCCCAGTTGGGTGGGCTCACTGTGCTCACCATGTCCCCCCACCCACAAACTCTTGGACCCCCTTTTGATATCCCTGGATCCGCCCCTGTTTTGAATTCGAATTGGTCAGTTGTAAGATGGCTTCTCTGTGTGAAGGTGTTCTCTCTCAGAATGACAAATCATTCAACGTGTTTTTGAAAATGAAGTCTCTCTCAGTTGATATTTTCAAGGCCTATGATGTTCTGCAGACTTCTTAAACTCTAAAGTGTGGTGCAGATTGTCATTAACCCTGAAGACAGACACGTTTGGTTTTGCATGAAACCACCCAAAATCTTCTAGAAAAAGAAATCGCCTTGATAATTAGGTAAGTTTAGGTTAAAGCGGCTGCACTCTGGGCACTTTTCCTCCCAACATGTTTGGCAAACACGGTCCGGCCAGCAAAACAGAGACGTTTGCATCACACTGGGATGTTTTGTTGGCGCTTCTGCCCAACTCAACGAAAACCACAACAAAACGTCTAGACGAGGTTCGCCATGGATCTCGTTACTACAGTTGAGGCCTTGCAGGATTGTTCTTCAATAATTGCTGAACCAAGTGAGGCGTCTGCAAAAGCTAAAGAAAATATAATGAATGCGTCGTAAACTTTCTTTAAAAGTGGCGGCGGCTGGCTTGTCAAAGAAGACTCTGAATAATGATTTAATGACACCAAAAAAATTTAAAGTGACGAATAAATAGAAACATGTCACCGTTTTATATGTCATTTTAAATTATTATTGTTTCGTGATTTATTTCAATTTTTTCATGAATACTTAACACCTAATATGAAGCTCATTTGCGCACTAACCCGGCCAGCAAAAGCTCAGCGGCTAGCAAAACGGGCAACATGTTTGGAAGAAAGTGTGCTGCCACTTTAGGTTATATTAGGTCAGGTTTCGTTACATTTGGTTTGGTCAGTTTGTTGCGTGTTTTTACCCCACAATCAAGTTGGAGAGGGGTCATATTTCCATAATGCTTAATTGATATTTTGGGTCAAATATCTTATCACTACTCTTCCAAAATTTAGTTTCCTTAGCCATTTAAAGTACCATTACGATACTGACTTCGTTTTTTTCTCACATCCCATGTACATCTGTTAACTGGTTACCGCGTTTTGTAAGATGTGGCAGATATGTGTTTGTTTACATCATAGTAAAACTCTTGGATTGGGCCTAAGGAACCTCATAATAGAAGCCAGACAAGGGATGCTAAATAAGCATGGTTATTGTTATAATACAGGTTACAAAATAAAACGTTAAAACATTTTGTCAGCTATTGCCGTGACCGGTAATTTAGCCACTGCCTTGTATTAAAGCAAACATCTAAGTGAAGATCCCGAAGGAAATAAATTTGGTATATGTTGTATTATCAGGACCGGCACCAGCTAAGTACGGTCTGTAAGGCTGCACAGGGCCCCCATCACTTAGGGTAGCCCCTCCCGAATACAATATATTTGTTTAGTAGATTTGTATGTCAATTCTGATGTGTCGTGTGGCGTATGCATATCAAAACCGCAGAAGAGTGCGTTTCAGCCATCTAATGTGATGGAAACTAGAGAGAACTGAGCGTCTGGTTCACGTTAATCTGTTAAATCCACATCACATTAGAGAATCAGAGGCAGTACTAATCCAGGATCAAGTGCCAGACAATGAAGTTGTGCCTGAAGATTACTGCCTGGACAAATCCTGTCAAGTTGCGTAATAGTGGCGTTGTGGCTAATATTGAGTTTAAATTGCAGCATCTGACGCCATTGCAGTCCTTGGAGTTGAAGGGTTTACTCGACGACTTCCGAGGGATCTGCCGGATCGTCCAACACAATGTCCTCCTGGTTGACAGTGCGGCTCCTGTCAAACAACCCTATTACCGGATGAACCCCACGAAGGTGAAGCTGCGAGAGGAGGTGGACTTCCTTCTCGTAAATTGTTTGGCGGAGCCGACCAACAGTGAATGATCGTCGCCGTGCTTGCTGGTGCCAAAGCCTGACTGTAGTCAAAGGCTTTCCACTGATTACCGCAAGGTCAACGCTATCACCCTTCCGGACAGTTTTCCACTGCCCAGACTGGATGATATTATCGACGGTATCGGCCAAGCAGAATTCGTCACGAAGTTGGATTTACTCAAAGGTTACTATCAGGTGGAGTTGACGGAGAGGGCAAAGAGAATATCCGCGTTCTTGATTCCAGATGGCCTTTACCAGTATTGTGCCATGACGTTTGGCATGCGTAACGCCACTGCCACCTCCCAGCGCCTCGTCAACTCTGTCATCACAGGTTTAGAAGGGGTACAAGCATATCTTGATGACTTGGTGGTGGTATCATCCAGTTGGGAAGAACACGTGCCAAAATTGAGGGCCCTCTTCATTAGGTTGGAAGATGCGGAGTTGACTGTTAATCTCGCCAAGACTGAGTTTGGACATACCACTGTGGCTCTTGCTTGGTCATGTCGTTAGCCAAGGTTCACTCGCACCTGTCGATGCGAAGATGGAAGCCATTCAGCAGTTCCCAAGGCATTCAGACAGCACATCTCTACTACGTTTCCTGGGAATGGTTTGATATTACAGCAAGTTTGGCCCAAACTTTGGACAAATAACAGCGCTCCTCACAAACCTAGCCAGCCCTAGGAAACGGTTCAAGTGGACCTCAGAGTATCAAACATCTTTCGAGCGAGTCCAGTCGCTGCTGTCCAGTGCTCCTGTGTTACACACCCCTGATTTTGAAAATCAGTTTTGTCTGCACATTGACGCCAGTGATAGTGGAACCGGTGCTGTATTACTACAAACTGGATCTGCTGATAACATACTCCACCCTGTGTGTTATTTATCTTCCAAAAGTCAAGAAACACCAGAAAAACTATTCAACAATTGAAAAAGAATTGCTTGCACTGATGATTGCTTTAGAAAAGTTTAACGTATATTTGTGTCATGCTGCTCAACCAGTGATTGTGTATAGCGATTACAACCCACTCAAATTTTTGGACGATGAAAAATCGAAATCAGAGACTTATGCGATGGTCACTCATGTTGCAGCAATTTAACCTAGAAATACGACACATACGAGTAAAAGGGAAGGTCAACCTTTTAGCTGACTGTATGTCCAGTGTAATTTGCGAATAGTATATACAGTATACTCATTCTTGTAAAATTAACCTAGTAATTTTATCTAAGGTGGAAGGTGTGATGGCAACCAGGTAGTCACCTCGTTTAAGGAACGAGTTATTCATTATGTTTATTCTTTCTCATTTAGCATGTGTTATGTTAGGTTTGTATTATGTTTTGTTGTAATATGTATTGTTGTAGGTTATATAGTACATTGTTGTCTTGTAAATTAAGTATTATTTGTGTTAATGTTTACATTCTTGTAGTGAGTAATAAACAACCTGGCAACTCTGTCCGGTGCACCAGAGGCTGAGACTCACTCACCTTCCTGACCGTCTCCGCCCTGCGCTGTGTACGGGTATCTGGTGTTCTGAGCGTTTTGTGTTTGTGCGACCGAGTGGTCACCTCACAGCTAAGTTTACTTTGTTTACATGTATTAGGAATATATTTATAGTATAGCGGTCCCACTAATTACCCAAATGAACCCAAATGTAGCCACAATGAAGTCAAATGATGGTCATACAAGCGTAAATCGGGCTGTGAATCACTTGTAGGGGTATCGAGATATTAATGTTGTCTAGCACTCAGGATGGATAGAAACTCTAATGTGGTTTTCTTATATAATATAAGTTATATGATAGACAGTCTGGTGCTGGAGATGCCGTGTGGTGGGGAGCTGCTCAGTA